GAACCCCCTTCCCCTCCCCCTTTTCTGATGAAGGGTCTAGGCCCGAAACGTCAGCCTCTCTGCTCCTATGATGCTGCTTGGCCTGCTGTGTTCATCCAGCCCTGCACCTTGTTGTCTCGGATTCTCCAGCATCTGCAGTTCCTACTATCTCATCTCCACATCATGTTAACTTGGATTCACTAAAGGTGAAATTAGTCGAGAGGAGTAGGACTAAAACTGGTGATAATGAATTGGCAAGCCCTTTTATACACTGTCTGGTTTGTCATCTAGTGTCTGTGTTTTACTCTGCCTTCACGTGATCTTTGTGAATGTTTTCCATAAACCTCAGAAGGAGAACAAAAATATGCTTCACACTTCTGGTGCTGTAAAATTCTCAAAAATGTAAGTGAAGAATAAGATCTCAAAATCTCTTAATATGTTCAAGGCATACTTTACCCTGGCATGGCTGAGAAAGAAACATTCTGTATGTAGTGTAAAAACAGATTTCAGGATTCTTATTGTAGAGTCATCGAGTCATATAGCATGGAAATAGACCTTTCAGCCAACCTGTCCATGCCGACCAGGTTTCCCAAACTATACTAGTCCCATTTGCCTGCGTTTGGTGCATATCCCTCTAAACCTTTCCTATTCAGGTACCTGTCCAAATGTCTTTTAAATGTTGTAACTGTACCTGCATCTACCACTTCCTCTGGCCATTCATTCCTTATACGCACCAGCCTGTGTGTGAAAACATTTTACGTCAGTTTCCTTTTAAATCTTTCCCCTCTCACTTTAAAATTATGCCCTCTAGTTTTGAACACCCCTACCCTAGGAAAAAGACCTTTGCTATTCACCTTTTCTATGCCCCTTATGATTTTATAAACCTCTACAAGGTCATCCCTTAACTTCCTATGTTCCAGGGAAGAAGTCCCAGTCTATCCAGCCTCTCCTTATAACTGGTACCTTCCAATCCCAGCAACATCCTTGTAAATCTTTTCTGCACCCTTTCCAATTTAATTATATCCTTCCTTTGGAAAGGTGACCGGAACTGCACATAGCACTCCAAAAGTGGCCTCACCAATGTCCTGTACAGCCGCAACATAATGTCCCAACTCCTATACACAATGCTCTGACCAATGAAGGCAAGCGTGCCAATGTCTTCACCACCACCCTGTCTACCTGCGACTCCACTTTCAAGGAACTATGAACCTGAAGCCCTAGGCCTTTCTGTTCGACAACTCTCCCCAGGACCCTACCATTAACTGTGTAAGTCCTGCCTTTGTTTGTCTTACAAAAATGCAATACCATGCACTTTTCCAAATTAAACTCCATCTGTCTTGAGCAAATCTGGAGAGTTCCCCAACCATGTACTGGATCAGCACATGGTGATAATTTACTGACTGTGAACAGTATAGACAGCTCTAATTCTTAGCCTTGGAGTGACTAACTGCACGATAAAGAAACACAGCAATATTATGTCTCCCTGATGCAACACTATCTCTGATGCTTGTCCTTTTTGTCACCTTCATGTGAGGAAACCACATTACTGGCTGAATTGGGATTTACATTTTTAATGGCAGCATGAGATTTTAGTCATATTATCACATATTCATCAATTTTCATAACAGAATTTGCATCCACCAGAACGGGCTAACAGTGTGTCCACTATTTTGTTTGTTAAAATTTAAATGGAGTGGAACTATACAAATTATAATCTATATATAGTTTAAAGTCAATTAACGACTTTACTTGTGCCTCTGAGAATAGCATTGGGATTTTTTTTGTGAAAAGTGTTAGATAATAAATATCACAATAACAAGAAGTCTTGTGGTTTGGTAAATAGCACCCCTACCTCTTATCCAGGGGGTTTAGGTTCATGTCTCACTCTAGGACATGTGGTGAGAGAAAGCGTGATTGTGATAATGGACATAGGTGAGAAACAGGTCATGAATCCTCCTGACTATTTTCCATAGAGGGAAGAAAAAAAATGTGAAGAGAGAGAAATAGTTTGTATTTTTATAGTGGTGTATATATAGATGTTGTCTAATACATTTAAATTAGTTCTGGCAAGTCAATTGTTCATTGGTTTAGAAGATGCCTTCAAAGCCCCCCCACAGCATATCTTAATTAAAAGCATGAGTCATTGCTGTCTCTTCTAGTTAAAAGAGATACAATGATTTCTGAAATGTTAGTTCAAAACAGCTTAAAATTAGAACAGTATAAAGTCTCACCAAAGTTCCTGCCTGGGAGCTTACATATGATCCCCTAATTTGTGGATTAAAGCACAATGAGATATTAATACTGAGTTTGGTACAGGAGACTGAAATTTGGACACAGGAACTTTTCTGTTTCGACATTTTTAAGACAATACTTACGAAGGGTCATCAGCCCACAATCTTTGATTTCATTTGTTCATGTTCTTATTTTAGTATATTGCTAAATGGTTTATATTTTACATGTTGATCCTAATTTTAAGTAAGCCTATTCGTCATTTGCAGTTGCTGCAGGAGGTGGTGACACAGTGACCTCAGTTGCCTGATAATCAAGAGAAGCAAAGGAGTACTCTAGGGCCATCTGGGCCAAATCCTACAACAGCAGCTGGTGGAATTGAAATTCAAATAATAAACCTGGAATTATAACGTTCAGTTGTAGCGGCCATGAAACTAATCAATTGTTAAAAACCCGTCTACCAATGTTCTTTATACGTGGCTCACATGTGACACCAAACTCAGAGGAATGTGGTTGACTCAGCTGCCCACTGCAATGGCCCGGCAAACCATTCAGTTCAAGGGCACTTAGGGCCGGGCAATTAATGCTGCCATTGCCAGAAAAGCCCATATCCCATGAAAAAATAAACAGTAGTCTGAGATTCATAGCTGGCAATATGAAGTGGGTATGTTAGCGCATACCTCTAAATTGTGAAGATTATGGGTAATTCTTGGGTCATCCCATCCTGCAAGGGAAACTCACAACAAAAATTGTACCTTTTGTTTTCAGGGGATAAGGCAAACTGGCTGGAATCACTGTGCAGCTATTGGGAAGGAAACCTGTAACAGCAACTTTTTTTTAATAATAGATAACGAAAATAATGGTGCATTTGTTTCTGCTATAGTAGGGAGAAGTCCTTGCCCAGATTTCTCTTCTTTATGTTACAAAATGTTTGTGTCATATCTAATTTGGATGATGGTTCTCATTTCTTACAGCTGGTTGGAATGCCATATTTACATGAGGTGCTGAGGCAAGTCATTAACCGTATTTTTGATGAAAAGAAATATATTGAACTGGACCCTTGTAAAATTGACCTTAACAAAACAAGGTACGACTATTATGTAGCTGTGATCTTAAGTGACTTATCTGCTCATCTTTCTCCTGACTCCTTCATTTGACCTCCAAAGCCATCAACTTTTTAAAGTACTTGAAGACATTGGTTTGCCCTAAAATAAACTACAGATGTTAGGAATCAAACAGAAACAATGGAAATATTCAGCAAGCCATGTAACATTACTTTGATGGCAGACTTTTCTTTCCAAACCTGGAAGATTATCAGATTATGAGAAAAGGACAAAACAATATGAAAGGCAACAGACATATGCATACAAACACAACAACAGAACTTATGCTTGTATTGGAGATTTAATATAGCAAAACATCCAATCTGCTTAACAAGAAAGATAGCAATAAAAAACCGGTTTTGCATTGTTTGTTTTTTCTGCACAGAAGTCAGAAAAAGTAGCCAAACACTAGATCAAGGAAGTAAGTGTATAGAAGCACCACACACACGCATACACACACACACACCTGTTCTGCAATTCAATCAGATCTGTAACCTATCTCCACATACCTTTGCATGACAAAACTTTAAAATGAGAAGGGAGAAGGTTAAATAGCAGGAAGAATATCGATGTAAGAAATGGTAGTTACGACGAGACACATTAATGAAATAGAAGCCATCTATATGAGACGTAGGTTGCCAATCCTACCGAATTGCTCTGTTTTACGTTCCCAGGCCCACAGAGGATAAAGAAAATAGGTAAAGAAAGTTAGTAGACAACTCCAATGCAACAATGAGCATAGGCAGAGCTTTGACAGGTGGATATAAAGGTCAAAGGGAACAGGGTGGAGTGAGGTGAGATACATATCCTTTACTGGGTTAGATTGCACTGTAGCCTGTGTAATTACCATAGCAGGAGAAACTCCTCAGTAATGTTTCCTCAGTTTGCACTTTGGCAGCAGCAGTAACCGTCTGTTGGTAAGACTTGATTTGATTTGTTTTGATTTATTGTTATCACATGTACCTAGATACAGTGAAAAGTTTTGTTTTGCATGCAGGACAGAGAGTTTATTCCATACAAAGTGCATAGGGTAATAGAATATGGTGAAGAATACAACATTTAAGATAAATGTTAAGTCACCATAGTTCTACCAGTCCATCAGTCTGTTCTCTCACTAGAGAGGGAGACAACTGGTAGTGGTTTAACCTGAGAATCACCATTCCTTAGGTGATGGGAGAGGTTGAGAAGGAGAGTCTTTCACTGTAACCTCAGTGGCTGCAGGAATTGAGTCATACTGTTGGCATTATTCTACATCACAAAGCAGCTATCCAGCCAACTGAGCTACAGATCTAATGCTATGTGGAGATGAACAATGAATGTGCCTTGGTGAAGATTTTCCAGTTTGAATATGTTGCCAATTTGCACTGGTGGGAATGACCTTTGTGAAAAAATTGCAGTGTAGCAGCAAAAACAATGATGCAGCATCAGATCGGTAATCTTATCAGGGTGCGGCAGATTCCTGTAAGAATAATCCTCTCTGCTGCTCATCATGTAACATGAGGTTTCTGTACCATTGCTCACGAGGTAGATTTACTGTCACTGTTCCTTTTTGGAGAAGGGATCTATAGAACCTGCTAGGCTTCTTGTGGTAGAGAAAATCTTGGGAATCAAACAAGAAAAGGCTCTTGTCCTGAACAAGATGCAGCTTACTGCACAATAGCAACTAGGTACAGATTACGCTGATATGAGGACATTGTTACTATGAGGATTACCTGGATGGTAGGTCTTATTGTTTCAACATCTCAAGTTGTTCCCCCACTCTACTCATATGACATTATCATAGCAGGTGGTGCTTAAGGCCTTTCAGATGTGTAAACCCTTTCAGATGTGACCCTTTTGCAACAATTCCCATATCCATTGTAGATCTTTCAATACCAACTGTTATTTAACTGTTAATCTATCATTCCTCTCAAAACATGCTGGTGTAATTTTGACTTAAATGTTGATGTTAAGTGGTTAAAATCAAATCATTTGCCTTTGATCTGTCACTCCAGGTTTTCATAGCAAGATCACCACAATGAGTCTCAGTCTTTATTTCTTTTATCAGTTCTCTCCTTCCCAACTTCTCTTGAAGATGCTGGTTATTGTGTTCAATGGAGATTGGGTTATCTGCTAGTCAGTCAATACTTCTATATAAAATCTCAATTTTCATTCCACTCCAGTCAGTGAGCAGGCTTTGCTTCTCAACCAGATTTGATGGGGAACTGAAATAAGTGTTTGGTTTCTTATTTACATATGTAAGCTGCCTAATGCCTATTTTGAAAGCGGGAATGACATATTTAGCAATGTTCCAACCCACAAGCAGATTGGATCTAGATTGTTCCACTATTAAATTTGTCACTGTTGAGTATATTTTGAAACATTTTGAAATGATATATAAATACACAAAGCATTCAGAAATAGAAAAAAGTAATTTCTAGGCTGTTGGTGCTAAAAGATGAGCACTTTAGTGACAGAAATCTTTTAAGCTCCTGTCGCCACAAAAACATATTTGTCTTGCGAAGCTGAGTAAGTGACATTTAACTGTGCAGCTTCACAAATATCCTGTAGTTAAACCTATTACTTCCACATGAACTTAATAATCAACATAAATAACTCATGATGCACATTTTTACCAATGTTTTGTTGAGTTACAAATTGCACTGGTCTCAATGTCTGACTTAGGAATATGCAAAAAAAATGCATTTGATTCAAAGGTCTTCCTTAGAAGTCAAAATATGTTACGAGTTAATTACACTAAAAATAGAGTATTTTGGGTGCAGTAATAAAACTGTTTAATAGGCAACCATTTAACTACGTACAATTGACATTGCAGTTGCTAAGTTACATTCTGATATTGAATTTGACATGAATTCAAGTTTATCTTTTCCACAGTGATGCAAATTAAACACCTGCAACATTCCAAACTGATTGTTTGGATTTGAAATATATCTTTGAATGCTGAATATTTGTTTAATATTTTGATTTTAAGAGCAGGGTTCCCCTGACAACTTTCTCAAGGAATTTGATATACATGTCACCGCTTGTGTTGTATCTGGATGAAATATCATCTTATGAAATACAGAATAAAAACAAAAAGCAAATATGATGACAGATGCTAAAAATCCAAAACAAAAGAAAGCAAACAAGAAAAGGCTTAATTCTCAGCATCTGTGAAGAGAACTGGCTATATGAGGGCCTCGATTTTAACCATCTATGTGCCTGAACAGATTGTGCTGTCTGGCTGCCTGTTGGTCTTGCTACCATGGCAACAAAATGCTGAGCTAAGCAATATTGGGGGCCACCACCCTGGCCAGTTCCAAGATGGAGGCAGGATTTGAGGAGGCAGGGAGAATGGGAATGATTGGAGGTGGCTTCAAGGGTAGCAGTAGCCTGATTGTGGATCTCAGACGATCATTCCACACCAAACTAATTTTAAGCGTTTCATTTAGAACCATAAAATGATACAGCACAGAAAGGGGTCATTCAGCCCATCTTATTCATGTTGACCAAATTAACTCTTCGCAGTAGCTAAGTTACATTCTGATATTGAATTTGACGTATTCTGGAACTCCTGGAAATTCTAGAACTCTTTATGTCTGGTAAAACTGGGCAGAACAGTGCTCACTCTATTTGTTGTTTCAATAATGGAATCCTGGGCCCAATATGTACATTACAGTCTTTCAACTTGACTATCTAAAGGGCCAAACTCCCTACTCATGTGGGCAATCTGGTTATCAGCAATAGGTTCAGAAAATATTGAAAAAGAAAGAAAAAGTCAAAGAGTGAACTGATTCTGGGTTTTTGGCCAGGGGGCAGCTTTGCCTTAGAAGCTGCTGAACTGGAAAGTTGTTTTTAGTTTTGCTCTCTCTAGTTATTGACTGACTGAAAATTCTGAGAATAGAAACCTAGTCTGTAAGAAATAAGTAAAAAGTCTACAGAGGTCTAAAGAAGCTGTTTGCATTGACTGATGACTTTGGAATTCAAGCAAGATATACAGGCCCACGTGCCTGTAATACAACCCGTTATCATAGGATTCCATGAAGGCCTGGAATTCATCTTTGAAAGTTATGAAACTGGCAAATTATGATTCGTTTATTTTCTTTTTAAATTATCTCTGTGTCTGTCTGTCTGTTTGTGTGTGAATGGGAGTTTATATTTAAAGAAGAATGAGCTTCAATCACATCTAAATATTATTAGATTGCCTTGTTGTTCATCTGTATTATGTTAAAATTACATTATTAATAATAAAGTGTTAATTTTTGCTTAAGCTATAAAGTTAAGTTATAACTGTTATTTATAAAGTCTGGTTAGGAATAATTGAGCAGTTTCGAGGGTCATGGAATGTTTTAAGATCCCTATGTTGCAAATCCAGTGATAGTGAGGTTGATTTGGTGTGGCTTGCTATCCCTATTGTCGTAACAATAGATTCTTGACTAACAAGGGAGTCAAAAGTTATTGGGGATAAATGGGTAAGTGAAGCTGATCTGCCATAATCTTACTGAATGGCAGAACAGGCTGGAGAGGCCAAATGGCCCACTCCTGTTCCTAATTCACATGCTTGTATGTTCGAATAAGGCAGCAAAAAATTTGCTGGCACCTAGGGAATTGTTCATTTATGTATCTTGTAAATAGTCTGACATCTGACAAATAGGGATTTTGCAAACATTTAAATTATTGCCACACAAAATCAACATTTACAGTTCCATGAATTTCTTAGAGCATCTTCATTTAATAGGTAGAGTGTAATAGCTCTTATTTTACAGCTGATAAACAGTGTCTACGATTCCTTCCTGTCCATATTCTGAATTAGTTTTTAGTTTTCTCAATGTCATTGAGAACTGGATTATCAACAATAAGCATAGACTGGTTGTTTATTTTGATATCTTTATTGGATCCTATCATCAAAGCAAGGGGTTCAGTAATAAATTATCATACTGTCATTGTTTCTTCTGCTATTCAATTAACTGTAAACTTACTCTTCTTCACTTCTGTCTTAACCCATAACTTGGACTTAACGTGAAACATGTCTCCTCCATCCATAAGTTTATGAATAGACAATTAGTGTTTAGATCTTGCCTTGATGGGACTGGATACTGATGTTAAGAGAGCAGCCTAGACTGACTCTCCCTACAGTTTTGCCTGTTCCCTGTGGTGTTTCTTGTGGTTGTGTTCCCATAGAAACCAGCCTGAGCTCAGGACCTCACTATTTGAACTTTCTTATACTCCAGTTCTGCACTTTGCCATGTTTCTATGGGAACATCTCGCCCCATGTCCTGGTGCCATATGTGCAGTGAGCTGGGATTAATTTCATCAAAACTGTTAACAATAATGAAGGCTAATAACATTTTAAGACATAGAAGTCTGTTTTTCTTCTGGTTTGTACTTAAGTAGTATCAAAAAATAATTGTTGCAGCAAATGTCTTTAAAAGAGTGCAATCAATTTAAAGTTGTAGAACATAATGTTCCAATTAAATTAATGTTTCGTTGAAGCTATGAGTAAAAGTGCATGAAGGAGAAGATAAGTACCTGTACTGACTAACGTTTCTTACAATGCTCCAAAAGGAGGATTTCATTCAAAGGGAGTCTTTCAGAAGCTGGTGTACGGGAATGTAGCCAAGAGCTTCTAAAATCTTACCTGACTGATGTGATGGATGCCATTGTGGGGTCAGTGGAGCAGTGTCCTTCAGTTATGAGAGTAGCCTTCAAACAGTTACATAAACGAGTGGAAGACCAATTTCCAGAAGCACACAATGAGGTATGTGCAGTGAATGTGTGACTGGGAGGGAATTCCATCCCTTGAGACACTGCGTGGTAATTCTACAATGTTAGTAAACACAAATTAAATTAAAATTGCCCCAAAGCACAAAGCTGCACAATTGCCAACAATTACTGATCTATTGGCAATTCTTTTGCAGCTAACGGAAACCTTCTCAGTTGAGCCGTCTTTCTGAGCAAATTCCACCCAATGGCCACGTCAATGATAATGGTCTGACATTCAGTTGCTTGTCAGAGCACAGTTCTGAGGAAGGGTCACTTGACCCAAAACGTTAACTCTGATTTTCTCTCCACAGATGCTGCCAGACCTGCTGAGCTTTTCCAGCAATTCCTATTTTTGCTACAACAGTCTTGAGGCAAAATATCCCAAGGCGTGGTTGCTTGTGACTTCAACCAGGCCAATCTCAAGAACATCTGAATTTTGGAACATCATATCACAAGCAGAGATTGAAGCATGAGGACCCAGTACAGAAAGTAGTGCAGTGTTGTTCTGAGGCAACAGAAGGGCCTCTATGGGACTGCTTAGACTTGGTTAGATCTCAGGTGGAGTGTTGTGTTCAGTCCTGGGCACCACACAATAGTAAACATTGCAGAGAGTGCAGAAGAGATTTATAAGAACGGTTCAAAGGGTTCAGTTATGAAGATAGATTAAAGAAGTTAGGACTGTTCTCCTTGGATAGAAGAACCAAAGAGGATGTCTGATAGAAGTTTTCAAAATCATGAGGGGGCTGGATAGTTAAGAACAAATTGAGTGATTTGTGTTGGGAATGCACTGCATGGAAGTGTGGTGGAGCCAGGGTCAATTGAGGTACTCAAGAGGGCACTGTATGATTGTTTAAATAGAAACAATATGCAGGGGTCTGAGCAAAAGGCAAGAGAATGTTACTAAGTCATGGTGCTTATTTGGGCAGTCAATGCAGACACAAACAGCCTCCTTCTGCACCTTAAAAATGTTATAATTTGTTAATTCTAGCAAATCAATTGGTCTCAGTGTGTACAGCTTGCAAACCCATAGCAGACAAACTGGGAGACACAGTCACAGTATTGTACACATTCAGCACGTGGAGTCCTTAAAGATGGATTCTCTTAAAGGCAAGGTATATATACAAGACTCAATGTTTTGATCACTCTGTGTCAATTGCCATTCATCCTTTGAGAAGGGTTTCGGGTGAATTGACCTCAAGGTCTCACCTAATATCCATTATTAGCCCAGGCCAAGCACCAGAAATTATAGAAGAGAAGCAACTTGGGGCTTGCCATTTTCTTTATATCACCCCCACCTCCCACACCCCTCCAGGTTTGAGTCCCACCCTCTGTTCAGTATGATTTCACTTCCTCATGTCCCTCTGCTCACTTTTAGGATTGGTGTACTCTGCCCTTATTTTTAGTTAAGTGATCGGGTTTAAAAAGTCAAAACTGCAAGCTCAGAAGTGTAAGTTAGTGGAGAGCCAGAGAACTGCATCACCCTGTCCTTCTAAACTGATAAATTACTGTGGTGCAGCAATTAATTTGGAACCTTACAAAGGAGCTCATTGTAATGTCACAGGGCATAGTAATCCAGCATAGAGGTAGCACGGTGTCTCAGCGGTTAGCACTGCTGTCTCACAGTGCCAGGGTGCCTGGTTTGTTTCCAGCCTCAGGTGATTGTCTGTGTAGAGTTTGCACATTCTCCCCGTGTCTGTGTGGATTTCCTCTAGATGCTCTGATTTCCTCCCACAGTCCAAAGATGTGCAGGTTAGATGGATTGGCCTTGCTAAAGTGTCCAGCAATGTGCTGCTTAGGTGAATTAGCCATGGAAAATGCAGGTTTACAGGGATAGCGTTGTGGGGTGCGGTTTGGAGAGTTGGTATGGACTTGTTGGACTGAATGGCCTGTTTCCACACTGGAGGGATTCTGCAATTTAATTCCTGATACATTTCATCGGATGTAGACATGCTGTGTTTTTGTTTTTAATATATGTTTTTGGAGGAATGCAGCACCATTGAAACAAAGACTCATTTGTTACTTTGAGAGTTTTTATATTAATTCACTGCTTGATAAAGAATGGAGTCATCTACCAGTATAAATAACAAAAACTTGAATTTGTGTAGTGCCTTTAAGGTAACAAATATCCTAATGCACTTTGTAGAGGCTTTTGAGGATAGGGCAGTGTGTCTCAGAATGGAATAAGATGCCCCCAGTACATTTTTGGACAAAATTGAACTTGTGTAGTGTAGGATTTCTGGTGAAAAGGATGTAGGAGAATACTGGAGTTGTTGAAAGTGTGAATAACTGTGTTTATGATGATGGTTTGAGATGATGGCAGAAACAAGCAATGCGACAGAGTTGGAAATAAGTGAGCTCAGTGGATAGAACAAGGAGTCCAAAGCCGAGCTCAGGATCAAACAAAACACAGAGGTTCCACACCAATACTTCCACTCTGATTGAGCAGCCTGGAATGGGAGGAGTAACGGAGAGGGAAGTAGCAAAACATAGAACATAGAACAGTATAGCACAGTACAGGCCCTTCGGCCCACAATGTTGTGCCGAACTTGTACCCTAATCTTAAGGTCTATCTAACCTCCACCCCTACCTTACACTATCATCCATATGCCTATCTAGTAGCCGCTTCAATGCCCCTAATGAGGCCAACTCCACTACCCTCTCCGGCAATGCATTCCACGCCCCGACCACTCTCTGAGTAAAGAACCTACCTCTGACGACTCCCCTATATCTACCTCCACTCACTTTAAAACTATGCCCCCTTGTAATAGCTAACTCCACCCTAGGAAAAAGTCTCTGGCTGTCCTCTCTATCTATACCTCTGATCATTTTGTACACCTCTATCAAGTCATCTCTCATCCTTTGTCGTTCTGAAGAGAAAAGCCCTAGCTTTCTCAACCTTACCTCGTAAGACCTTCCCTCCATTCTAGGCAACATCCTGGTAGATCTCCTCTGCACCTTTTTCAACGCTTCCACATCTTTCCTGTAATGAGGTGACCAGAACCGGACACAATACTCCAACTGTGGCTGAACCAGGCTTTTGTATAGCTGGAGCATAACTTCACGGCTCTTGAACTCAATCCCTCCATTAATGAAAGCTAACACACCATACGCCTTCTTAACAACTCTATCCACCTGGGTGGCAGCTTTCAGGGAACTGTGAACATGAACCCCAAGATCCCTCTGCTCCTCCACACTGCCAAGAATCTTTCCGTTAACCCTGTATTCTGCTTTCAAGTTTGTCCTTCCAAAATGAATCACCTCACACTTTTCAGGTTTAAACTCCATTTGCCACTTCTCAGCCCAGCTCTGCATCCTATCAATGTCCCTTTGTGGGAGGCATAATCTTGAATAATGTGAAAAATTAGTCTCTTGGCAATCTGCATGTTGAAAAAGATGTTCTTCAGTATTAAATTAAAATAATTAATTCAGTTTTGAACTTTTTCTATTAATTATCAGGATAACATTTTCTACAGTCATTGCGTAAACCCTCTTGGGAGAGTGAACAAATACTCCAATACTCCCATCACAAACCATCTGGGGAAATTATTTCATTAGCATTCTGTGTCTGAGGCTGAGTTAAAGTTCTGCTGCACAATAGAACATCGAAGTGGGCAGTATCATGTAAGAGTTAAAAGGAATTGTAATTTTTTAAAAAATTACTGTTGTAATGATGAACTGGATCCCACTCAACAATGCTCATTCAATGTGAATAGTGACAACTTGTCACAGAGTAACATTAAGATTTCTTTAATTTATGATGAAGTATAGTTAGATACCTGCTTGAAACACAGAAAAAAATGGAATTAATTCTATAGCCTTTTCAGAGAGTTGGCATTGGCACCATGGACCAAATGGTCTGGTTCGGCACTCTTTGATTCAATGATATATCGCAACACTTCTGAGTTGAATATGACAGAAGTTTAATTTAGTAAACCTAGTAAATTTACTAGAGCTGCATTAGGAATGTGGTATACAACTTGATGACTGGAGGATCAAAGCCTAAAATTCTTTTGATAAGGCAATTGATAATTGGCATTAAGTACTCAAAATCCAATACAGTGAGATCAAAGATTGGTGGACGCTTATGAACAGAGGGTAGGCTTACATGGTCAATAATTTCACTAACTACAGTTTGTGTTCATTGGTTTTGTATTCATTTTGTTTTTTATTAGGATGTCAAGTACTTGGCTATCAGTGGGTTTCTCTTCCTGAGGTTTTTTGCCCCAGCCATTTTAACACCCAAACTCTTCAGCCTGAGAGACCATCATGCCGACACGAGGACAGGAAGAACCCTGCTACTTTTGGCAAAGGTGACCTTTTTGCAACTCCCTCAGTGCTGAGCAACAGATAAATGTAGAGGCACAACCTGACAGTGAGCTGTCATTCAGTAATGAGAGAACAGTGATCAAGTGATCCAATACTCCTGAAAATAAACCATTCTGTCCAGCAAAACCTTCAGAGGGGAGATTGAGTAGGGAGAGTTGATTGTGTGTACTATGATACTTTTCTATATCCAACGTGCAACAGGGGTTTGCAACAGGATAATCCAATAGAAAAGGCAGCAAAAGTTGGTTCAGAATGAAAGAACATTCAGCAAAAATCACCACCTAACTTGCATTTGGCTTCCACAATGCTTTGTTTTCATTCCCAGTTATATGAGCAGCAGATACAGCCCATTCTTAGTTGTCAAGAGAAGTTAAAACAAATACGAAGAATACCAGAGAAACTCAGCAGGTCTGGCAGCGACAGTGGAGAAAGAAATGACTTCCCAAGTTCTGAACAAGAATCGGACTCAAAACTTTAACTCTGTCTCTCTGTCCATGAATGCTTTCAGACTGCTGAGTTTCTCTGGCATTTTCTAGGTTTGTTTCAGATTTCCAGCATCAGCAATATTTTGCATTTAATTTTATCAAGAGTAGCTGTTATCTTGAAGCAGTTGATTTACAACAAAATGTCTTGCTAGAGCACAAAACAGGGCATTGTAAATGAACCACATTGAATGGGAATGGAATCAGGTAAAGACAAAATGAAGTAAGTTTCTCTTCCTGAAAAATATTAATTGGGTTTGACAAATATCTAGACACCTTCCTGTTTATTTTCTGGTGATTGCACATTTATTGGATTCAGTTTCATTTGTTGGGTTTTGAAATGGTGCCCTCTGGGTTGCTGTCCTGTAACCACCGCACCGTGAAGAGAGTCCTGAACTGTCTCTGGTAATTACAATGTAGATTGGTGCCTTACATAGAAGAGTTCAGGACTCTGCATGATGGTGAATGGAGAAATGTTGTGTCTGGTATGATTGCACAAGAAACTACCAGGGAAGGGCAGTTGGAAATTGGGTAAGTGGCAGTAAGAGTAGGGATATTCTGGAGGAAATATTCCTGCACAGACAACAGGGATTGGAACACTTGAACTATTTGCTGTTCACAGTATGCTCTTTTCTACCTTGGAATGACTCCTGTTGGAATGCTTGCATTTTCTGCTTGTAATTCAGATTTCTAGCATTTTCTGTTCTTTATTCCCTAGCAGTACATTTTTTAATGAATTATTTTAAACCACTCAACAGGAGTTTCTATCTACTGATAAACTTATGAGTAGACTCACAGATGTCACGTTCCTTTATAATCTAGTGGTGTGTGATTTCAGTCTGGTTGAAAGAATTCTCACAAGAAGTCTGTATGAGTATCCTATTTCTATTCAGTCTGAATTTGTTTAATTTTGATATATTTCATTTCAGATCAGAGATTCTGCCAGAACCAGCATTTCAAGATTCCTATTGTTTGTTGTAACTATGCATAGTTTCAGCTCAGCTGCTAACAGATGTCATATAGTCAGTGCCAGCTCTCATCATGCGTTCAATAAGTTTCTCATGTTACATTGATCATGTACACAAATGGATGCACAAACATAATTCAGTTCTTGCTGTCAATCTTCAATTAGATGGTTCAGTACCAAAAAGAATTTTTTTTTCTGCAGGGATTCTTCCTAAAACTATTTTATTCATTATTAATTTAACTGCTGTACCAACAGTGAGTTTCTAGGCCTGTACAGCTTTTGTACAACATTGTCTTTGTTTTTGAGTTCGTTTATGATCAGATTCTGGCTGATTCTGTTTATTTTGATAATTATAATGATGGAATTAATAAAATCTGTTGGAAATTAACAATGAACTAGTCAATAGTAATAAGAGGAAACCAGGTTTATATTTCAGGTCAGGACATCAGCTGTATCAGAGTAATGTAGTCAAACTGGGGAATCCCTCTACATTTATTTTCTAATCAACGCACTTAGTATCATTATTGCACACCTCTGGAGCACAAGCAACTCCAACCCAGGCCTTCTGGTCCAGAGATAGGGACACTATCACTGTGCCACAACAGTCCTAAAGGAGTCCCTTTACAGTCTGATCCAATCAAAATAATTAGGAATTAGACAATGACTGGTGAGGGTCATTGGCACAGATGTATGAACTATATTCAAAGGAGGTAGGTTGTAGGCTTAATAAAAATTTGATTTTAACATGCTGAAATGAAATGTTACGTGGAACAAAGACACTTCAGCCTAATTATTTCAGTGCTAGTGCTAATGATTCCATATTAGCAGTGGTCAAATCATATATACCCATACAATTCTTATGTTCTAACCTATTCTGAATGTTCACATGATCACTGCTTCAATCACTAACTCTGGCACGTATCTGCGTCTTAAAACGCACTGTGAAAAAGGAAATGTTTCTCCTGCTTTCTGTTCTGAATCTCTTCATCTAATCCTATAAAAATAGCCATGTTCTAGACTCTACAGTCATTGGACCAAGCCTGTAAATGGCATCGTATTAAGATCATTCCAGTTAGACTCATGTAAATACAGTTAATATTGCTTCAGTAATGGATTGACTTGTATTTTCCCTTTCAGGCCGTTCAGAGTATTGGTAACCTGGGCCTTCAGTTGGGACATGGAAAAGAACAGTGGATGACACCCCTTCATCCATTCATTTTACAGAGTGTAAGCTGTGTGAAGGATTTCCTGGATAAGTTGATAGACATTGATAATGAAGGTAATAGTTTGTGTACTTCAAATTTAATTAAATACTGTAGTAATTATGACTATTCTCATAAGATGGGGTAACAGCTATGGATTTGTTCTTGTGACAACACTGCTTCTATAGGTTTAGCACCAGATAAAAGACTTTCAAATTTTTGGTGCTAACTCAGAGACATTTGTTTATCAAGGAGATTTTTGTTAGGGTGATTAGTGCTCTGTTGTAACATGCACACTCTTTCTCAGTGGGATTTCTTATTTCCAAGTTGACAACTTTCTTGCCAATGCCCACGTTGTTCACTGGCTGGCAAGATTTTACCCAGCAAATCTGAATCAAAAGCACCCAGTCTACATCAGAAACTCTAATATTCAGGGTAAAGATGAGGTAAATATAAATGAACCGGCAAACTTATAGTTGAACATCTCACAGCCTGCACCTTAAGTGGCACAGAATATCACCAAATCTCACTAAAACCCTGTTCCCTTCACAAGCAATTCTAATTCTTAACTTTCAAAGATCTAGTTGTGAATTCCCCTCAAAGACTCTTTGACTCAGACTGGGTCAATGATTGTTGTGGGAGATGTGGTGTCCAGTTCATGAGGCATTAGCATCAGTAGTGGTGAATGTGGGATCTGTACCATCAGGATGCTCTCCGCCTGAACTGTACTGGGATTGGTGTTCTAGTGAGTAATGTGACTGAAGAACTAAAGAATCAAGGTGGGGAGGAGATGAGGGATCAAGTTTATATAGATATAGCAAATCAAAAGGTAGAGTTCAGGCAGGACAGCAGGTTGTAATATGGGAACTGAAGGTCAGAATGGCAGAAAAGGGTGGAGAGAATAAACCTAAGAACACAACAAAAGTCAAGACTAGCTGTTACAAAGATAACGAAAAGACAAAACTGAAAGCTTTCTATTTGTATGCACATAACGTTCTTAACAAAATACATTTCTAAATAGCACACATTGAGTAAATAAATATGATCTGATAGCCATTATGAGGACATGGCTGTGAGATGACATGGATCAGGTCCTGAATACTATCGTGACTTGCTTGAGACTGTGCATTGATATCATGCCCCCCGTTCCTGGAGTCACCACAAATATGAAAATTTAATTAAAGTACCAAAATGCCTAATTTATCTGACTATCTGATTCAACCTAAAAGAAATACATGCCAGGTTTTTGCCATTAAGAAAAATAAACTATTTAATATAGCCAAACTGATTTTCTTAACCAATGGCAAAAGAAGAAAAAAGTTGTTAATTTATTACTATGCAACTTAAACTTTATCTCTTTTATGTTCCCATACATCCATAAACAGACTAACAAAGAAAAACAGAAAAGGCACAAATATGGTGAAGGAAACAAATGTCAGGGAAACACAGTTCTGTATCACACCATCCAAACCACAAAACTAGATGGGTTCTTCTCACAATCATTCTGATTCGTCAATGATAACACAATATCTTCTGCACAATGATGATCAATTTTCAGTTCACTAGTTGTTTGGTTAGATGCTGGATTGTAAACATTCAGATGACCAATCACAGGAAGTTTGCATCAAAACAGATCTCCATCTTAAGTAGCCAGGAGACAGACTTAACTTCTCTCCATTTAAAGATACAGACCTATCAAGTTAGAGTCCCTCTATCACTGTTGCAAAAATATTTTTAAAGAATTGTTTCAGTCTGCTTCCTAACATGTTCATAATGGCAGAGTTTTAAACACTAATGTGTGATTTTCCAACCTAGAGTAGCTGAGCTGTGTGCAGAGGTTTGTTGGGTGTGCCATTTTGTTTTTTTCCAATTCAGAAGAGCTGTTGTGATTTAATCACTCCTTGTTTGGTCCAAACTTTTGTCCAGTGGCTAAAACCTGCTACTATAGCATTCCTCTTTTAAAGATGCAGACTCATTTTACAGAGGCCACAGCCACGAAAAATAAATTAATGGAGGAAAAAGTAAAGGAACAGAATGATAAACTACGCGAAATAAAGGAACAACCAAGGTCTGCATCCTACTTCATTAAAGCAAAAATCCTCAGAGCATCAACAAAAGTGGAAGGCAAGCATTTAGGTATGGATTGGCAGCACAAAGTGCCAGGTCACAGTTTAGCCAGATAAACTTTTATTGGGTTTATTTATTCCATTCATGGAATCCAGCTTGGTGCAAGCACGTTTGAGGATGTTAAACAAATGCCCAGCCCATTGGATAAGGAGCATCTGTGATATTTCCTCCAATTTTTCAACTTCCTCTCACCATATATTTGTGATAAAGGTATCTCTGCCGAGAGATTTGCTCAAGAAGGAGGTCTCTAATGTGTGGCAAGGTGATGACCAACACATCTTCAATTCTCTGAAGTAGGTTCTGTTGACAAATTCTTATTCACTGCAATGGTACAACCACAGGAAAGACATGATTCTGGAAATAGACTCATTGCTAAAAGGCGTAAGTGTCTGTTTTTTGCATGATGAAACATCTATTGCTGTTGTTCTAAGACCCTGTCATTTTCGCAAACCGACTATTTCAATATAGAGCTGGAGACATTAGCTGTGGTATTTGGCATGATGTGATTTCACAACGCTTATTTGGCAAGAAATCTGTTATTGAAATGGATTGCAAGCCATTAGAAATGAACTGCTATGAATCACTTGTGAGTGCAGTGCAATGTTTACAGCATTTACTTGTCAAGGTTTAGGATATGACTTTGAAGTCAGCTCCAAAGTAAAGTGTTGAAGTCTTGAAATAGTGTGTAAGTTGGTTTGAGAGAAGGCATGGTGATGTGGTGAATCTAGTAGTTTGCTGATGAGGAGTTGTGTGGATAGAAGGGTCGATGAGGATGGTGCTCATGGAGTGTGCAGAGACCTTGTACAGAAGAAGCGCACTGCCCTGGAGAGGTATTTGGTTAGCTGCACCCATCAGGTACCTGTTCTGTTTCACCTGCAAGGAACTGACACCTCCCCTAGTTCCTTGGTAAAGCAGAGCAGAATTGAACTGGGGATGGAAATAGAGTGAGTTGGGTTTTTAAAAAGGTGCAGATGCATGGATTCTGAAAACACTATTTGAGGAGCTGATCAGGAGAATTTTTCTTGACTTTGAGAATAAAGTTTTTCATTTTAAGTGTATTTTGTCACAATATTCCTCCATAATAGGGAGGGGAAAATTCCACCCCACCTTTCCAGCTAAGTAAGGCCATGTGTTGCTTTTATGACCTCATCTCTATTATTTTGATTCTCTCAAACAGATGTAAGTAAACTTCTGAAAATCCTATTTGTTTTATGTGTTCTGGCAATGACTGAAGCCCAGCATTTTAATCACCTTACCTTAGCTATTTACTTCTTAAAACAACACAGCCCCAAGTTTTTAAGTAGACTAGACTTCAAAATGCTTTGATTGCATTTTCTACTATTAAATTTTAATCTATAAGAGTAATTTTTTTATTATTCATTCATGGGATGCGGGTGTCAATGGCTAGACCAGTCATTATCATCCTTCCCAATTGCTGAGAGTGCAGTTAAGAGTTAACCATATCACATTAAGTCTGGAGTCTCACACAGGTCAGACCAGGTAAGGATGGCAGTTTCCTTCCTTAAAGGGCAAAAGTGAACCAGGTGAGTTTTTCTGACAATTAACAATGGATTCATGGTCATCATTAGACTCTTAATTTCAGATTTTAATTGAATTCAAATTCCACCATCTGCTGTGCCAGGATTCAAACCCCAAAACATTACCTGGGTCCCTGGATTAACAGTCCAGGTATAATACCATTAGGCAATTGCCTTCCCAACTATAAAATTATATGCAAAATGACATAAACATTGAACTTACACCTACTTTAACTCCTAGCTTGACTTCTCTGCTCATTTCAAAGAAATGATAAAATGTAACATCAGAAACATCTTGAAAATATGCAATTTGTGCACCTTTAAAAAATTCTTTCATAGCAATGTGTTGAATATCATTTCTTACTGCATTGTTAATTGGCACGTGGTTCCAGGAGCCCTGAAATAATTGCTGAAACCTTAGGAGATTGAATGGTGCTGCTTGAGCTACAATATCTGATTACTTGATACTTATATGTGATTCTTGTCTCTCTGCATGTTATTGTCAATTGCATTCAACACCTCAATTTTATGTTCTCTGCTTGGCTTTTTCCCTTAACAAAGTGGAGTAATGCAAAGAAAAATTACAAGGTTCATTTCCTGGAGTATAGGGATGATTTAGGCAAAATAATTTGACAATCGATTGCTCTTTGCCTTCAGTGAAGAACATTCCTTGGTAATGCAAGTGAAAATCTATTATAAATATATTGAACACTTAATAGCTGGACACAAGAATGTATGAACTCAATAGATAGGAGCAGGAATACTGTGTGTGACCCATTGAGCTTGCTGTGAATTCAATCTGATTGTGGATGAACATGGTCTTTACTCCACTTTCCTGACTGCTCCTATACCCTTTGATTTAATGAGAGGCCAGACATTTATGTATCCCAAGTAACTGTAGTCAGTGATAGAGCATCTACAACCTTCCAAGGTTGAGAACTCCAAAGATTCATAATCCTTTGACTGAAGTATTTTCTCTTCATCTTGATCCTAAATGATCGGCCCTTTACCCTGAGACTGTTCTCCAGTGTTTTAGATTCTCTGACCAGAGGATACAAACTTTCAGTGTTACCTTGTCAGATTCCTTTAGAATTTTGACATGTCCAATGAGGTCACCTCTCATCCTTCTAAACTCTTGACAGTGGAGGTCCAGTTTTCTCAGCCTGTCATCACTGGATAGTTCATTTATTCCATGAAATTATCTTGAGACTATTTACTCAAACGCAGGTAAAGTTGCATTCACATCAAAACCCTGTCTTATTCTTGTACTTCAATCTCTTTGCGATAATGGCCAAGACACCATTTGCCTTCTTAATTGTTTGCAGTAAACGCAAGCTAAATTTCCGGTTTCCTTGTATGAGCATATCCAAATCACTCTGAACATCAATACTCATAGGTTTTAGACCTTTTAA